GGGGCACAGCCAGCCTCACCATGGTCTGCACCACGGGCTGCCGGGGAATCTCTGCTCTGGTGCCTGAAGGACCTCCTCCCCCTCCTTCTCCACTGACCTGGCCGTCTGGCAGAGTTGCTTTTCTCACATCTTGCTCTCCCCCTCTCTGTCTGCAAAATCTACTCTCTTCTGGTTTCCCCCTTTCTCCCCCATCTTAAACATGTTATGTCAGAGGCACTGTAACTACTGGCTGATGGGCTTGCCCTTGGCCAGCAGTGGGTCCATCTTGGAGCCATATCGCATTGGCTCTGTCAGACATAGGGGAAGCTTCTGGCAGCTGCTCACAGAAGCTAGCCCTGTAGGCCACACCCCTCTGCTACCAAAACCGTGCCATGCAAACCCCGTACACTGAAAAACTTCATTAGACTAGTATAGAGCAACTCAGGGTAGGTGGAAAAAAATGCTAGTTAAAGCTTATTACACAGAAGGAGGAGTTCTTTGTAAGGGTAGTTCTGTAAAGTTTCTGTAAAGCATAAGAAAGCACTCAGCAGACCCTTTGTTCCTTTACTGTCAAGAACATACTACCATGATCCCCAGCTAGCCCAAAAGAAAGGTTGATCAAAAAACCCACATGCACGCATGACACACCTTTAAGAGCTCCAGTTACCAGTGAACACAGTACTTTTGTTCTCTAAGTGAATATCCACATAGGTCATATTTCTCCCAGCTCCCAAGCAGCACATCACTAAGCAAGGAAAATTCTCAGAATAAAATTCACCAGGGCATAGTACACAATGTGGATAATGCAGTAGCACTTAGTAAAACCAGTTTTTACTGTGAAATTCATGTATATAAATTTCTGTTGTTGGAGAAGAAAAAAGAAAAAAAAGCCACGTTCTGTGCAGGCAAGCCAAAATCGTCTCAGATATATGTGACTCTTTGATCTTTTGACACCACCACACACAATTACGGGTACATCCTGAATGGCTCTTTATATAAAAATGATCCAGCACAGAAGACATCAAAAAGAATGAAGCTGCTTCATGATTAAATGAATGAGGGTCAATCAAAAATTCATTAAAAAAATCAAACTAGTTAAAGGAAAAACTAACCAGAGATTTCTCTCCGAAAGCACACAGGAGATATGTTCAAACAATTATCAAACTTATATTAATGTTTACATTTCAATTCTTAAATACATTAATTAGTCACAAAAATATCTGTAACAACATGTTTAAAAATACACTGAATTAAGTAGCTACATTTTTTCTATGTCTGTGTTAAAAAAACCAACAAGGTAATAAATTCTAATAGCACTTGGTCCTGTTTTAGAGCACAAGTGTTTTTTGAAAGTGAAATACTTTTCCAGTTCATCCACTGTAAAGGAACTGGAAAACCAAAGCAGCAAACAGAATATCTTGTGCTTAAGCACTTCCCGGTACTGCATGACTCCCTCTGAGCTGCCGTCACAGCTTCCACATAAATCACCCCCAAAACATTAGAACCTATTCTCCCTTAAACAGTTGCAGAGATGTTGAAAAAGACGATCTCTTACCAGATCTGTCATTAAGTCCTTGTTGCAACAATTTCACTCTCTGTGCTATTGACAGAGCTCTCATGTGAACTTTTTCTGCCAAAACCTTAAAAAAAAGACAACATTAAAACGCATTTCTGCAAATGATAACAACTGATTTCTTGAACTACCTATGGTTTTAAACTGTTTTATCCATCCACAGAAATTTTAAGTCAATAAAAGCCTATAATACCTATTCATCAGCATTGTACCAAACCACTAACAACCAGATTCCTATGCATGGAAGAAAATGTAAATTAAATAAAGAATAAAGTTAGAGAGCTTAAAAGTATTGCAGCTCTGCTTGAATACAACACCTGGATATGAAAACTACTCTCTCTCTTTAAAAGTTCCAAAACCAATGAAAACCTGCAACAAAATGTCTGACATATGTACTTTTCTTAAAGCCTATTAACAGACATTGTTAAAAAATACAAAATACTTAAAAAAATTTAAGCAAAAACAGAAGATGGTTCTGTGTGAAAAAAAGAAAATGAACGTTTTGTTTGAAGATCTTGCTTAAGAGGCCTGCACAAGAAATATTCATGGTAGCATAGCTTCTAGCCTTTACCTCTACTTGTAAACCTAAGTAATACTTCTCAAAATTGGAACAGCAAAAATATGCAATATTTTTTTTTTACTGGTATTGCAGTGATCCTAACTCTATCTATTATGCAAGAACAGAAAAGAAAAATTGTTTCACAAACACCACAAAATGCACAGATTATATACATAATTCAGAGTTTCACTGTCTGATCCTGAAAGGCCAAGTTCTGTCACAAAAGTTATTTCTATTAACCAACTTCTGCAGTCAAGTTAAGGGGTTTTAACTTGAAAACTTGTATTAAATCACTCCCCCTCAAAATTCTGGTAAGAGAAAATAAATTATTTAACCATTCTTAGTGTTTAACCAGTGAAATATAATAAAAGGATTTAAAGCCTTTTTCCTACATCAGTGTGAAATTCATATAAAGTGATCCAATCTACCTCATATGCCAGCTTTCTGACAGCTTCCTTTACATCCATGGTGCGGCCTACAATTTTTGGCAAAGTCCTTGCTGATGGAGCAATACATGACAGCACTGCACGCCTCACTTCTGAGTTTGAATCATTTTCAAGCAACGTGATGTAAACTGGAAGTAAGATAGTCAGTCAATGTTTTCATAAGTGTTTGAAACATGGTAGAAAAACAGAAAACACTAAAAACAACAAACCACAAAACACAGCAGCTGTTATTAAAACCCCTTCCCCAGCCCTCCATAGCTCATACAAATTTAGGGAATGGTTTAGGATGGCAACCCCAAGATTTCATGGCAATTACATGCTGAGCTATGATCTCAGAAGAAATTCAACTATAAGAATAACTGCAATTATAAGTAGGATCTTCAGTTAATACCTCTGAAAATTACTACTCAAATCTCACCTATAAATAACCATTTTGTCATTTACTAGACAAAAAAAAGTTCTTCCAAGTGTTGGCTTAATATCTCTAGTCACTGGCTATACATGCTCATAACCTCAGAGGTGGATAGTTGAATTTACCTATAACAGAAAACTGCAATCTCCATTAAGCCTGTGAAAACTCAAATAGTAGATCTCTCACGTAATGCTTTTTGTTATATTCTTGACGTTTCTTTAGAAGTAAAATCAACAACAAAAATAATTTCATCAGAGAATACTCAAACTCATCTTATTGCTTTGTGACACTACGATTGTCTATGAAATTTATGTGCTCCTAAATAAGCAGCTTATAAACAAACACTTAGAAAATATAATTTCAAAGAAGGTACATTAACAACAAAAAAACACCAAACACAACACACTCTTCAGAGGACAGTATGCAAAGTTTCATCAGGGCATAATTTAGTTAACAGCTGTGCTAGTACAAACCTACAGTCTACCTTGAGGCAATGGAAGTAGAAGCTTAGTCAAGAATACCATACATAAAGAAACCCACAAGTGGCACAAAATAGCATCAAGAAACCTGGGTTCCAGAGGTGCTGATCTCTTGAAGGGAGTGATCCATGAAAAAAGCAAAAAAAAAAAAAAACCACAAAACCAAAACACCATTATAGGTCAACAATGTCAGAAACCAGTTTGCCTTTTGTGGGGCAGCCAGCCACAATTTGCAACAAAAAAGTAGCCTGTCTATTATCATTTCTACTCCTTTAAGTGTTTTTGTACAAGTGCAATTAATAGCACAAAAAGTTCCTTGGAGGGTAAGAACCGAGCAAGCACATATCACATCTCCACCTCAATTCACAACACACCATTATTCCAAGCATCCTTCAGCTACATTCAGTTCATAGAATAGCCTGATCCCAATATTCTTTTTCTGTCATTTAATTCTCAGTGGATCTCTCCTTCAAGCAGTTCTGTCTTTTCCCCTTGAACACACACAACTCTTGCATCTACAGCCTCCTCTGGCAAAGAGCTCCACAGTTTATGAATTATTACAATAACACCCTCTAAGAGTTGTTTACTCAGTGCTTAAAAAAATGCTTTAATGTAAATCAACTAATTTTCTTAAAACAAACAAAACAGAAACAATGCTACTTACTATTAACAACAGGACAGTTTTCATCATTAGGGTCTTGAAGTCTCGACAGGGCCAAGACAGCTTGAATTCTCACATTGGAAAATTTATCTTTAAGTCTAATCAGCATAGCTTCATTAATTTTATCAAATAACTCATCGTCAATCTGGGCATTCTCCGGCATATTTCCCAAAATCTTATTAACAAGCTGACACGTTCGAAACCTAACTGCATGGCTGTTTGCATTGTGAGACTTAGGGAGAGAAAAAAAAAAGTATTCTTATAATCACACCTCTCATTTCCAACATAAGGCACATCATGTATGCACAGGTAAGCAGTTAACATTCCACACGGTATATGAAATGTGCACTTCTGTATTTCAGAAGCTTCTCCTACCTATTTATTTTAATAATATTAAGAAGTCAGAAAACTGGAAAACAATTATGGCCCATCACCTGTATCAGCTGCATCTTACATAATTAGCAATGCCCTCCCAAAGGAAGATAGATGCTTACCACTCAATGTGGACCACAGCACATTAGCTAACTTACTGCTCTGTCTCCAAAAAACATTAAGAGAAAAAATATATAGTAGCAATGACTTCTGATCTTAGCCCGATCAATAGTTTTTCCATGCCAAAATACTGGTTTAAGAAAATGCAATTCTACCTGCATTTTCATGCTATTGGAACCGTTGATCTTTCTGCGTAAGACTTGCAGTAAGCAAGAAGGAATCCTATATATACCAACCATAGTTGTAAGAAAGATCTTTTAGTATTTTTACTTCTCAAAGAAACAGTATCAATTCATTTCCACAACACTTCCACACTTATAAATGTACCTACAGTAAAGCCTATGAAACATCTAACAGACAAATAAGAAAACAGTTCATATTTTCTCACAGGCCTAACTCATGAAATCCAGTTCTTGGCTTACTGGGGAGCGTGTGATGTTACCCATAAAGCATTAGCTTTGCCTCGCTTTCCCGGTCTAAGTTATAGTTTGTAGATACCATCTCGAGCACCAGCAAGTTATCCTCACTGCATGAAGTCTCCATTTGTTATGTTGAAGATTTAATAATACGTGTCACTGTACCTGAAGCAGAAAGTTAAACACACAATTCAGGAGTAAATTATCTTCTCCTTCCCAGTTATTACCACTATCTTTCTCCATTTCAAAAAATGAAGTAACAAATTTCGCGACGAAATCGATCACGTGTTCCACCGCTGGCTCCCGTCTGTAGATTATCATGGCATATTTCAGGAAATGAATGAATTTTTCATGAAAATCTTCCTTATTTTCCAACTAGGGGAAAAAAAAAAAAATCAAACCACAACACAATAGAACTACCCGGTTCGTCTTTCAAAAGCAGTACCACAGAAAAATAAAATAAACGGGGTCTCGGGTGTACAAACACTGTCCCACAACATCACCAACACCTGCCGCAGGCTGTCCTTACACCCACGTTCGCAGGAGACAACAACTGCATGCAACGGTCGCGTTACGATAGTTTTGCGGGTTGTTTTTTTAAGTCGCAAGGCTCGCCTTAGGCGCACCGGCCTCAAAGCTTGTTCTGGGGGAAAAAAGGCCGAGGAGGCCCCCTGCGTCCTGCAGGGAGAGCGGAGGGTTCCTGCGCGCCCTCACCTCACCCAGCCCGGCGGGTCCGCCCCGAAGGCGGGTGTACCTGGTTATACGTGCTCTTCAAAGCCACAAGAAGCTTCGCGTGGTTCTGGTGAGGCTTCTGAGCCAGCTGCAAGGCTTCTTTGATTTGCAGAAGCCCCTTTTTTGTTCCCATGGCTGCAGAAGAAGAGGACAGTCAGGCCACGATCCTCCGGACGCCGGTGGCGCAGAGCCACCCTGGGCAGACGTGGCCCTACTGCTCCCTCACGGGGCCCTACAGCAACAAAGCTGCTCCTAACGGCGGCAAGAA